GTTCAAATCCCAGCACCCACATGGCAGCTAACAATTGTCCATAACTCCAGTCCCAGGGGATCCGACAGCCTCTTCTGACCTCCGTGGGCATTGCACGACACAGGTGCACTTACCTACATGCAAACAATACACATAAAATAAAAATAATAAATAAAAATCTTTTTTAAACTTTAAAATCAATTTATCACTAGCACAGGATTTGAAGCTGTGGCAAAGGCATCGTAAGGAACTTCATTTAAAGTTGAGTTGACGGCAGATAAGGAAAGAGAAGCAGAGTCACCTGTGCATTCAGTCTGGCGTGGAGCTTGTGGTCTGACAACCAAGGGTGCTTGAGAGCCTCGCTGGCACTTATTCTCCAACTACAGGGAAATGCAAAAGCTGTTAGAACACACCAAACTATGCCTGCATCAGCAATTCACCTTTGGCTCTGGCCACTAGATAGTCAAGTGCCTAATTCACAGTCAATCTGCCTTCTCAACTTGTGAATGACATCAGAAGATCCAACCACACTGACAACATTCATAGGGCAAGTAAGACAAATGATCAAATTCATGTAATGTAACTAGTTGAACATTTATTTCCAAATATAAGTAATTATTCTGTGATATACCATCTGAGCTTCATAAATTGAACTAACTCCTAACAGATAGTTGAGAAATAAATGCTTGTTACTGTGATAATAAAATGTTACAGTAAGTTCCAGCGATTGCAAAAGCAATTTTTGTATTAAATCTTTTGAATGTGTGCTGCTAACTCTTGAATTAAGGAGCTTTATAAACCTTATAATAAATATATTTAATGTAATTATTCAGAGACTATATTAGATTCCTTTATGAAAAAACTATATCTTTGCATAGATAAAAATGTTTACACAATTTGAAAAAATAATATGAAGATAATAAAGGCTATTTTATATCCTAATTTTAAGTTTTATAAACTTATTTGGTGTGCTAATATATATCACATTAAAATAACCTTTCCAAACAAAAACTATGAGTGCAACAATCTGAAATCTGCTTCTGAAAAATGTCAAATGTCTCAGAGCTGTCATGAGATTTAAGTCTAAGTGTTCACTTGCAATGCAGTTGTTAAGAATACCACCATTACAGAACCCAGAACATGCAGAGGTTATTAAAAACGCATCATTGTCACAAGCCACACATGGTTCTCTTTAGTGCCCTAGGTTTTTGGACTTGGATCTCTAGACCACTCCATTAGCTGATGGTGCTGAAAGATGATTATTCCTACATTCCAGTGACAAACTTTTAAAAGCTGTCTGTTAAAAAGTTAATAATATTGTACTCTTAACTGACTCAGTAATATTTCAGGTTCATTTTTGGTACCCCAGACATTTACCCTATGTTAGTGATATTGACCCGAGTTTCATCCAAATATTGACTTGAAGACTAAGTTAGGTGCCATTGTACCCAAATGTTACCTGATACTTCTTAGATACTCAGGACCCCTCAGACTACAGGAGTGAACAGGGCCCAGGTACCCAAGTCCAGCAGACCTGTTTCAGGATCTATACTGCACTAACCACATGAAACAATGGTGATTGTTTCCACTTATCACAGGATTGTCTGTACATATACACATACATGCACACACACACACACACACACACACACACACACATACACACACACACACACACAGGCCTATCTCCTCTATTGGACCATCAGTTTACCAAAGTAGGGAATGGAGTATAGACTTTACATAGCTATTTCCAGTCTTGATATGTTTCCTGTGATAATAGATGATCAGTTAAGTGCTTAAATGAAAGAATACTCCACCTGATATGATGCCATACCCACTGCCCAGGTTATTGCTCCTTCTCTCCAATACCTTCTATTTATTCCTTCATGATCATATTTACCATTGGGCTTAAAAGGTACAAAGACAATAAAGCAACTGCTATTGACTCTGAAAATCTTAATATGATCTGCCATTACACAGTTTACATATAAAGCCATTTGTAATCACATTGCTCTTCCCACTCTGTAACTCTAAACTCAAATCCCTGTATTTCAATATCCCTCTTCTTCATTGAATTTTAAATTAGTATGTTTTTAGCACAAGAGAAAATATAAGGCTCTCTAATATATGGCACCTTAGTGTGTGGGCTTGGAGGAAGGCCCAGTTGTGGTTAGCATCATTTTTGCTTCTTACTGGCCATGTGATCATAAACCAACTACAGAGAGTGTCATCATAAAGTAGTAAGGCAATCGTAACTTCTCCCTCTGAGAGTTAGGGGCTATGAATAAAAGAAATAATGTCCAAAAAGCATTTGGCAATGTCTGACCTATAGAAATTCTCAAATGAAATTGTCAATAAGGATTCAGCTGCACAGAGCCATGTATGCTTACAGAGATCAAAAGGATTGAGGATGGTCACCTGAGATCCACCAGGAGGACTTGATTGCTGAAGCTTCATTGCAAAAGTCAGAAAGAGACAAGCTTTTCAGCCCCACTCTAGCCTCAGAACTGAAGCAATCATAGGCCCCAGTAGGTGGGTCAAGGGGTCAAACCTCATTGCATTCAGAGCCTGTACAGGCATCATGGAAGTCATGGAAGGAATGCAATCCATTAACCCCATGGTACATACTGCTCCTGATCATCCCTGCTCCTCCCACAACATGAAAAAAACTTGGTTTACCTCTTCTCCTTAATCAGGAGCTTAGAGATGAACTCCGTGGCCTCCTCTGAGATGTCCTGAAATTCTTCATCCTCTAAATCCCACCTGCATGCCAGGATATTGGTCAGTGTCTCTGCATCATTATCGCCCAGAAAAGGGGACAAACCGCTGAGTCTGCAAGACACAGGAGCCAGAGTTGAGTATTTTTTTTAAACAGTCTTGAATCTGCTGTAGACACGTTGCTTTGGGTTCTGCCATTTGTAAGTGAGAGGAGAAATATACCCATGAAGGAGAACTTTACAATCTATCACTGCAGACAGGACCATGTCTGTTCTTCCCATCCCAACTCCTGATGAAGCAGCTACAGCAATGAAGATCAAGCTGTACTTGAATATGAATCTCAAGAATAACTCAGTTTCTCTTTTAAAGAGACAAGGTGCTGTCACACACCCAGAAGACAACCCAGAATGTCACTGCTAAGGAGTAAGCAGACAAGTACATCAAACCTTTTCAAATCACTTGGAAAGCTTTTGCTGACATCCTGGGACTCAAGGTGACCTGGGAAGAAGACACATGTATCTTTCCTTCCAATGAAGTAGTAAAAAGAATTTACTCTTTTTACTTGTAAGATGCAACATGGTGTTATTGTCAGAAGACCTAAGTCAGTGTTTTCATTCAAACTAAAGAAGCCTTGGGGCTGGGGAGATGGCTCAGTGATTAAGAGCACTAGTTGCTTTTGTAGAGGACCCAGGTTTGGTTCCTAGCACCTACAAGGCAGCCAACAACCATTCATAACTTCAGTTTCAGGGAATTTGATGCCCTCTTCTGACCTCCACGGGCATTGCATGACACAGGTGCACTTACATACATGCAGGCAATACATTTATACACATAAAATAAAATTTCTAAAAAGCTAAAAAAAAATAGTGAAGCCTCCTGGAACATGTACAGGTTGGGAATGAGGGTGTGAGAGAAACCAGGAAGTTCTTACAGCATGTATGTGATGACGCCCACACTCCACATATCGGTAGGAAAGGAAACAAAATCATAGTTCACAACTTCAGGGGCAAGAAATTCTGGAGTTCCGAAGTTCACCTTCAGCTTCTCTCTGGGTTTGTATCTGAAGTTGTAGGAAACAAGGTAGAAGGATGAAACATGTTAATCAAAAAGCAAAACTCCTGAACATTGAAAACAGACACCATCTATGAGACAAAACAAACCTCAACTATACAGGGAACTGAAAATAAATAAACTTCTAAGGAAATTGCATATTTGTGCTAGTGTGAAAAGCTTGTTAAAAAAAAGTTCCAGGGGTTTCAAGGATAAAAATGCATACTAAAAAACCTTAACATTCTGAAACAACTGTGAGAAAGGCACTCTGAATAATTAGACTATCTGACTATAGAACATGAGAAAATGCTGGCACAGCCCTTTACATGAAACGACCCAAATAAGCCTTTACTAATGGACAGAAAAAATGGGGCAATAATTCACAACATCTATTTTATGTGCATCTAAGCTTAATGTGCTGAGTTTTAATGTCCCAAATTCTTTGTTTCCCTAAGAAACCAGAGCCCTCTGTAGTCTTATTTAAACTATTAACATTTTAAAAATCATTTTTCTCTTTACAGATGGAACAAATATAAAAAAAAATAAGGACAAACTTAAAAAAATTAGAAATGAATGGTTTCTAGGGTAATAAACTTCATCGGACTAAGTTTTCATTTCTCTTTTTTATTATATGCATTATAGAAACTTCCAAATGCTCAAATCCAACAAGGTAAGGTTAAAGAGGATTTTCATTAAATTAATTATAAATGAGAGCTTGAAACCAAGGGGCCTATCAGATATATCTTTGCAAAGAATGAACATGCATTATGTCCCCCAACCGTACTCTTACACTTACGTCCAAACAGACATACCTTCTGGCCAATCCAAAATCAATAATTTTTATTTGCTTTGCATCCCGATTCACACACAGGATATTCTCAGGCTGCCAGGAGAAAGAGACACATTAGCAATGAAAACAACCATCCTTCACTCAAATTGTCCTTGAACCACAACTAAAAATACAAGATGCTCAGGAAAAACATATCAGACCTTTCACTTGGGGGCTGGTTTGTCTGTATGGGTATTTTCTCCTTTAATTATGTGGTGGATGAGGTTGTGGGTAGCTGCCAACCTTACATTACCCTGCCTGTCCCTCTCCATGGTTTTGCAGTTTGCCACAATGCATGAGTTCAGGCAGGGGCCTTCTTAGGGGGAGAAAGAGAAAGGCTGTTCTAAGCGCTTTCCAAACAGAGCTGGTGGAGACCAGCTCAAGCCTGACATAGCCCTCTTCCTGTAAAATTATTAAGTATATTTCCTTCTCGGAGGAGTATTTTTCCCAAAGATTTACGAGTTCCAAGAGAAATGGCCTGATTCACTTAAACAACCACACTGAATATGCAATATAACACGAACATTTTTGACCTCTAGATTCTCCCTTGTGCGTTGCCTATGGGAAAGTCGTATGCTAGAGGAAGGCTTTTGTCTCCTACTCATTCTTCATCCTCTGAAATTCCAAGGTTTTGCTGAGCTTGGTCTCGGTGCCTACAGCCCTTGACTAAGTGTTCCCTTGGAGTTAGACCCTAGTAAGCTGACAGCCTGGGGGGAGGGGAAGAAAGTCAAGTTGGTGCCTCTGGAATGTCCTGCAAATGTAGCTACATGTATTGGGGTAGAAAACTTGAAGTCTAGGAAAATAAGACATTTGATTTAAAGTCAAGGTCATCTATAAAAAAGAAATAACATTTTTCAAACAAAAGCCAAGAACATTTGAAGCCTAAGAGCTGGGGCGTTAGCAAAGCTGCCAACGCTGAGCAAAGCTGCTCAGAATTCCATTCCCCATCTTTTACATGGAGGACCATGCCTCCCTCCATGTCTTATCTGGTGGAAAGAGCATTCAAGTAAGGTAGAAACTCAAACACCCTCTATGAAATGATATAGCATGTCCATATCAATATCTAATCATCCATTTGGTTGTATGTAATATCTTTTGAAACCCCTTTCCAAAATGTCTCTAAAACAGATGTCTGTGAGAAAAGGCCATTTTATACAGAGCTATGTTAGAGCAGTTTGAGTTTTGACTAAATAACTGATCATGCAAGTAAAAGCTTCCCTATCATCAAAGAATACCACAGGATCCTGAAACTGGTTTGCAGAATGTAAACCAACAGCTTCGAGGGCACTTTAAAAAGCTAATCTTTGTGATAATAAAAAGTAAATCATCAGATAAGATTTTCAGACAATAAAATTACAAAGAGACTATTTTAAGTCACCTCTCAAGTCCCCTACAATGGTACATACTCTTAATGTCTTTGGTTCTTCTTCTTCCAAGGAGCTCTTTGAAAAAGATGGCCCTTAGTGACCCATCTGGCTGTCACCTTTAGTATTATCTTTATATATAAACCATAACTAAAACTTCCCATTGCAAGTCTTTAATCAATGTTATAAGGCCACAGATTGAGTCGTTTCACTTATGACGGGTCATCTCCTGGCTTCAGTTGTCAATCAAATCCCTTTAGGGATATCTGTGGAATATCCACAGTGAACAAAAGTGCCCCATGAAACTATGTATTGTCATATTCAGTTCATGGCTAAAGACTTCGTTAATGATTTTTAACCTCTGATTTTTTTGTTTTATGTCCCACTCCCTCCTCCTCCTCTTGTGCAACAGTGAATGGGAAAGACAAGGCACATAAATCAAGAGAGTATGGGAAGCCAAGTTGTAGAAAGAAGCCCATGGAAACCTATTTAAGGAGGCTAGATTTATTCAGCTGCACCATCCCTGGAGACTTACAATATATGGTATGTTACATAGAATATACAATTTATCTCACTGTCATGCTGTGCAAACAGGGAAAAGGGAAAATGATCAAGCCACACAAGAAGAAGATGCACTTATGATATTTAGCTCTGACGTAAGACTTGATCAGGGTTATTAGGGCTTGGTCTATTGTTGGGTTTGCCGACAGTTATGCACAACCCAGTTCTGAGGACTTCATAGTGAAAGAGAAGTAGAAAGAGGAGGAAGGAAGTGACCCCACTTCTCTTACGTGCTTTCCAAGGCTCCCAGCCTAGTGACCACCTGTCCCCTGCTCCTTGGCATTGCAGCCTCACCATCTAGCTGCCCTGCTCTCTATGGTTTGTACTAAGTGTTTCAACAAACCCATAGGAAAGGAAATCCCAAACCAGAGCTTCTCGGAAGACTTCAGGAGGCTGCTGGGAGATCTGGAAAGGGTAGCTACAACTAGGGAATTCTGAGTTAGCTAAAATCCTCCCACCACATACTCTGATAATAAGGACATGGCAAGGATACTGTGGGAATGGTTCTGGTTTTAATTCTACACTTTTAGGAAAACCATCTCCCATGTCAATTTGATGCAGACAATTTTAGAATCACAACCAAAGACTCTAAAGATGGACAGTCATATAGGAGCCCCCAAAGATGGTGACAGAAGTTAAGAATGAGATTTTTTTTTAAAAAAAATCATGATTTTGTTAATTTCTAAAAACATGACCAGGGACAACATAAATTTCCAGAGCAATGTTGGAGGAAGAGCTATAGAAGCTTCACATTTCACAGGATGGAAAAGATGCTCTACCTTCAGATCCAAGTGGAGGATGTACATCTGATGCATGTGCCTTATCCCCTCACAGATCTGCTTAATGAACAGGATGGTGTCGAGCTCTGTCAAGTTGTAGTTCTCATCAATGATGCGATCAAACAGCTCCCCACCATCCACACTGCAGAGGGAAGAGAAGTGAAGTTCTTAGCCCCGACTCTTTAAATATCACGTGCTTTCCTTGTACTAAGTCAGTGTTTAGGTTCCTCTAACTGTTCTTTGCTGTGTGGTTTAGATGATTCTTTTTTGTAAATTTTTTATTGAATTTTTGTGTATTTCATACAGAACATCTTAATCAATCTTAATCATCTTTATAGCTCCTTCCTTACTAGTACTCTCCCATAGTGTCCCCCCACCGGAATTCATACATTCTGTCATTTGTCTTAAGGCCTATCATGTCAAGTTAATGTCCCCAGACATCCCTCAATGCAAGTTCATCCACTGGGGTCTAGTCAGTCTATCTAGAGTCCCTTCCTTTAAGAAGGTCTGCTCATCCTCACCCAGCAGTCATCAGTGATTCTTATGTTGAAGGTCTGTTGTATATATCTTCAGTGTTAGAAAAGAGAAGTCTCAAAGTCCCTATCATTGGTGGCTGCATACACATAAGTGAGTCCATGTGTATCACTTAACAGATATTAAGGATGAAGAGGATTCTAAGAACATAGGGAGGTGGGATTCCAAGTACTGACAAAAGGTGAGTCAGGGTCTTAGCCTTTTGATTTGTAGGCTAAGTGCCGTGATAAAGTGCTTCTTTGTGGCTGATGCTGAATGCTTTAGTTTTCCTAATGCCATTTATATATAACAATCAGCAAAACCCAAAGTAATAAAATAACATTTTTTTAATGAACTGAATCACGGTATCTGTTCAGTATTAGAACTACTTGGGTTTTATGTGGTAGTGGTAGTTGTTTGCAGTGCTTATGGATGGGACCCAGGGCATCACACATGCTAGCCAAGTGCTCTACTGCCCAGAGCTGATGGTTACTAAACCATCAGCCCAGACTACTCGTTTTCCAGCTAAACATTCATTAAGGTTTTACGAAGCAGATTCTGAAATGAAGCTCCTCAGTCATCAGGGGTTTGGCCTGTGCTCTGCATTCCTGAATACATTCCAGAATACAGTAACTGCCCCCATCTGCAGCTTCACTTTGCACAGCTTTCATGGTCACCTGCGATCAGTGCGGTACAATAAGATACTCTGAGATAGAAGTCACATTCACCAATTCTTGTTGAGTGTATTGTTATAATTTATTTTGTTATCAGTTGCTACTTTATTACATTCATCTTTACCATGGGTATCTAAGTACCTATAGGGCCCTTTACTAGTCCTAATTCCAGTCATCCATTGGAGGTTTTAGAACACGTCCCCTGAGAACAAGGGGGGAATCAGTGGTGAAAACAGGATAAAGCTCAAAAATCACTTTCCTCTAGATTGCCCAGGACAGAATTTAAGCTTGATTTTGTACTACAAAACTTGGATACAAAGCTACATTTACTTTGTCCTGCTGCATCTAATCAATGAGTCACACAGAGAGACGTGCATTTGTAAGTATTTCCTTTTTGTATCTTGTAAGATCTCACAATTCATATAACCCATGGTTCCCACCAAGTCACAAGTGCCATGCAGGAAGTTTGTAAAGGCAGGAGAGAGGAAGAAGACACGTACTACTCCATGACCAGTATGATGTCATGCTTGGATTCGAAGGCATCATAGAGCTGAATGAGGTTCACATGGTCCAGCTGGTTCATGATGCTGATCTCATTCTTCACATCCTCCTGAGCAGAAGAAAACAGTGAGTCAGCGTGATAGACACTGGTTCAGAGGGGTAGACCTACCTGCCACAGCCTTTACCTTGTCCTTTGCACCTCTGATCTTAATGATTTTAGCAGCCAGCTTCAAACCTGTTGCTTTCTCTTCACACTTGTGAACCTGGCCAAAACGCCCCCTGCCAAAGAAGAGAACAGTTCAGTGAGGCACTGCAATCTGCCCGGGCCCCCTATCAGCCCCCTGCAAGGTGGTCAGTGTGAGTTCCCTGTATGTTTGTCTCTTCAACTCTGAGTGAGCAGACCTATGAGTACATCTACTTCTGAATATGATTACATAAGTGAAAAGCTACATAATTCTGTTTTCTCTTATATTGAGATACTGAGGCTATGATCATATATTCAGAAGTACACACTCATGAACACCTTGACTTGTTTCCTTTAATGCTCATTTAGTAAAGTAAGACAGAACACGTCTATGGTCTGTGCAATGGTGGCTTTCATGGTAGAGAATGAAAGGGAAGCCTGCAAAACAACACAGTGAACTAGAAGAACGTACTCCTGGAGCCAGCTGAAATGAGGGTGATCACATTTGACAGGTGCAGGGCATCGACAGCCACTATATCCCATTCAACTCAGTCACCCACCCTGCATAGAAGTGGGTGTAACTTGGGGAATGTTTTTGCATTACTATAAACTGGCTACGTTGTGACTTCAATCCAACTTTGATTACACATGTCCACAGTGCTGGTGCACATGAACACAGCTTCAGGTACTTCCCATGAGGCCATGATTAAGAAAATGCCTTTTCCCCATCATTAGCAATGCCCCCAGAACTGCCTGGATCAGCACTGATGCCCCATCACTGTCTGACTCCAAGGATATCTCCATGCCCTTTCACATGATTCATTCTGCAAGGACCTTGATCACTAAGGCTACCTCACAGGATCCATGCTGGGCCACCAGACTGGTAGCCTTATGCTACTTGAATATGGTGATGAGGCACTGTGTTTACCAGATTTCCACTGTTGTGACAAGATACATAAGATGACCTGAAGAAGGAAAGATTTGTTTGGACTCAGGGTTTCAGAGGGTTTGGCTCATGGTCAATTGGCTGTTGCTTTGCGCCTGTGTCTATATCGTACATCATGGCCATGGCAGGAGAGCTGCTCACTTCCTGGCAGCTGGGAAGCAAGGAGAGGAAGTGAATGAGGAGGGGCTGAGGATCCTCTAGTCCCTTCAAGGGCACACTCCCAGTGACCTAATTCATTCAGCTTTGCTTCATCTCCTAATTCACCACCTTCCAATAATGTCACCTGGTGGCCAAGGTTTTCACATATGTTGGGAGAGATATTTTCAACCAAACTACAACAGGGATCTATAAACACTCTAAAGTCACAGAGTAGGAGGTGAACAGAGGAAAATGACTGAGGATTCAGTGGTCTTTGGCCCATTTCAGTATCTCTACCAAAAGTAAGCTACCACCTCTTGAGCCCCTCCCTTCCCCCCATTAGGTGGCCCTATAGTTGGTGGTCTCGTCACAACTTGAAGCAACAAAGCATGCTTAACTGTGCTCTTCTAACCTAACCAATATTGAGGTGAGCCCATAACGAGCAATAACAGACCCCTATTAGATCTCAGTAAGACTGAACAAATCCAATTGTGCCCAAAGAGGCAGATAGGAACTTTAAAAAGAGCCATTGACAAAGCTTGGCTAGAAAAGCTGCACAAACCCTGGGAATTATCTCAAAGTTTCTTCTGCAAATAAAATAAAATAGTTGCTTGCTTGCCACTGAGGTCCCCAAAGACCCAAATACTTCAGACTTGTACTTATGTTTCAGCCCATCCCCACAGGCCTGTAGGGAATTCTCTAACATCAGCTGATGAGGAAGAAAAAGCTTAGGTGTTTCTACATGGCGAAAGGCAAAACTATGTGGAAAGGGAAGAGAAGGACATGACTTTGCAAAAATCAATGAATTATGCCTTAATAAACATGCAGAAACCATGCACATCTCCTGTGTGGGGTAAGTTTTGTCTGAATGTGTAGTTTGCTGCTTTCCTCTTTCTATTTTCTAAAAATACACAGATGGGACTAAATCCTGTTATGTAGGCTTTGAGTTATAAGAAATCATGGGGAGACTGTGAATGAAATGGGCGAGAAAAGACTATAACCAATATAACCTTAACCCCCGATGAGCTCTCCTCTTCCTGCTTCAGGAGACGGTGTGCACTTAGATGTACTTCAGATGAAGTTGCTGGGAAACCAGCAACAGTATGAAGATTTAATTCATGCCACTATAGAAATGCACAATGCTGGCTCATTTCTGCAGTTCATCTCCTAGGGGTTAAGCCATGGCTTTGGACAATTCCAGCACCTTCTGGTAACTCATACTGTCTTTTTCCTACTTTCAGACATTAGGACACAATAAGGAAAATAGATAGGAGTGTGGTCACCACATCAGCCTTTCTGGCATCAGTGGCAATTATCAGAAACAGTTAGCTCTCTTAACAATGTTTGTTTCTAATGTTTATAATTCTCAGGTTGAGACCAGCAAAGCTTTCTAAAGTCCTGAGCCCTGTCTCTGTGAAGGCTCTCTTCCTTCACTGAAAGATTGTTCAAGCTTAGCATTACTCACCCTCCTAGGATTTCAGTTTTGCTCACAGTATACAGACTGTCGACCGAGGCGTGTTTGGCTGTTACAACACGATGATCAAATGGGGCAGCAGGAGCAGGGACATCATCTGTGAGGTGAGAGAAGATCTGTCTGTCAAGCACTCTGACCTCCTTACGCATCAAGCATCATGTCTCATAGTACAAATCTTCTCATACAATAATAAAATACAATGGGCCACCTGTCTTATTCCTAATAATCCAAGAATATAAATTTTCATTTCATATGATAAATGAACTGTGAGTTCTAGATGTGTTATCTGGTGTCTTTGATAAACAATGTCAGGGTCACTCAACTATCATTCACACACTCTTAAGGACAGCTTTTAGAAAAGCCAGGACAGTGAAAAATCTGAAATTCCAACACAGCCAAAACGGGCCCTGTTTCTGGGGCTGGGGTGGAGGTCAGTGGAAAAGCACTTTCCAAGCATGAACGAGACTCTTGGTTGGATCTCCAACACTACACTTTTTTAAATGCTTTCAAACCTGAGACCGTTTTTAATTCAAACATGAGAAATTAATTGATCCATTTTTGGAAAGTGCTCCTAATACAATCCATATTTTAATTAAATTGGAAAGAAAAAAGAGAAAATGAAACTTTTCTTTGAGTCACTAAATTTTTGATAATATATAATACTTTCTAAAATGTTTTAGGCTTTATTTCAGAGACATTTAAGGTACAGAGATGAATTTTTCCTGACTGGAAATAAAACACCCAATAAAACTAGGTGAGGGTGTATGCTACAGCTATCCAGTTTCTCCCACTTTCCACCTACCCTCGTATATATTTAAATGGTAGACCACATCAGCATGGATCCTAATGTGCATAGTTACTCAATATTTCCCCTAGTGTTCTTTGAATTTCCCCATGGCTATTGCTGTCTGTGAACTTGTTCATTCTCCATTTATTTGTTTATTGAAACAGCTACCGTGCACATACAACAAGGATCAAAGAGAGGGGAGTAGAAATGCTGGGGGGGGGTATTTATTTATTTATTTTTACTTTGTGCAGAATGTTTTGCCTGCATGTATGTAAGTGCAGTCATATCTTGCAATGCCCATGGTGGCCAGAAAGGTCATCAGATCCTCCAAACTGAAGTTGGCAGTTATTAGCCACCATGTGGGTCCTCTGCAAAAGCAGCCAGTGCTCTTAACTGCTAAGCCATCTCTCCAACTTCAAGCTGTAGTCTTTGAACTTGACATTTAACCAACATATATTTCTTGAGCATTTATCTTGTTCTAGGTACACTACTAAATATTTTTGCTGTTGCTGTAATATTAATTTAGTTTAACTAAAATTTAATATTTTTGTATTAGATAACAGATCTCTTGGACTCTAATTTGATGTGAACATTCACCTCTCATGTCATAAATAAGCTGAGAAATAAAATCATGGCTTTTTTATTTATTATTTTTATTTTATGTGTATGAGTGTATTGCCTGCATGTATGTAAGTGCACCCATGTTGTGCAATGCCCACAGATGTCAAAAGAGGGCATCAGATCCTCTGAAACTGGAGTTACAGTTGTTGGCCACCATGTGGACACTGGGAACTGAACCCGGGTCCTCTGCAAGAGCAGCCAGTACTCTTAACCACTGAGCCATCTCTCTAGTCCTGAGAGAATTCTTTTGGTAGCATTCACTACTTTTGATTTTGTTCTTTAAAAAAGAAATGTTTCAGGCTGGGAAGATGCCTTGGTGGGTAAGAGCACTTCCTGTATAAACATGAACCTGAGAGTTCAGATCCCCCATAGACCACATAAAAAGCCCACCATGGCTATGCATGCATCTGTGACTTCAGTGTTGTAGGAGATGCACACAGGAGGATGGTTGGGCCTTGGTGGTCACCAGCCTAGCTCCAGGTTCAGTGAAAGACCCTGCTTCAAAGGGATGAAGTGGAGAATGATGGAGCAGGACACTTGACATCCTTCTTTAGCCTCTATGCATAAAAACATGTGTTTATTCACTACATACACATATACTACACATACATGCACACACACATAAAAATAGATATATAGCCTATAGTTATACACATGAACTCACATAGAGATAATGTATGTATAATTTGTCAATAGGTTGTTGGACTAATATGGTTCCCTCTGTTTTTTTAAAACTAGCTAGGCATTATTTATCTCTTCTCTCTCTCTCTCTCTCTCTCTCTCTCTCTCTCTCTCTCTCTCTCTCTCTCTCTCTCTCTCTCTCTCTCTCTCTCTCTCTCTCTCTCTCTGTCTAACCCTTCCACCATGGTTTCCCCTTTTAAAGTGCCCCCATTTTCCCCATTTCTCCTTGATAATACCCATCACCTATGGTCCTACCTCTCTTGAGCTCTTTCTTTCCCTTTATCCCCAAGGTTCCTTGTATAACCCTCCTCCCCCCTCCCATTTAAATAAGCTCATTTAAAAAATATTTTTAGTTATTATTTTTATTTTATGTGTATAAATGTATTGCCTTCATGTATGTAAGTGCACCCATGTCGTGCACTACCGTGTAGGTCAAAAGAGGGCTTCTGATTCCCCTAGAACTGCAAGAGCAGTCAGTGATCTTAACTGCTGAGCCATTGCTCCAGCCCCCAAATAACCCCATTTCTATCCATTTCTCCTAGTAACAAGAAACAGTGCCAGACAGGAGATACCTTCCTTTGAGTTGTTGGCCAGGGTGGTCCAAGAGACTCCCATAATTACTCAGGCTATTGCCACAGCCCTTGATGACCTCCCAGAACTTGAAGGTAAGACCCTATTGCCAAAGACACAGCATACTTCGAACACAGGATTTGGAGCAATAGAGCTGTACCTGACCTGTAACCACTTCCCCCGAAGGCTAGCTCTTATAGCTTCAGAGAGCGCTATGAAAGTGCTAAGGGAAAACATCACTGGATGATCCAACACCAGTTTCAAGACCAAATAACCACATCAATGGCCAGTACAGCATAAGTCATTGCACAGTAGTGGCACTCTTATCTTGGGGGTAATCAGCAGCTCCCTAATTGGACTAAACGCCCACTCAAAGGGAGGAAATTCAAGTGTGGTAATATAAACATAACCTAATACACATCTATGGCTGGAGTGGTCATAGATCTTAGAGAAAACCCCAAGACTGTCACATCGTTAGACTAATGTGATTTCTTACTATGTGCAAAATGTGTAGCCTTATATTTGCAGACAAATATCCCAGTCACCACTCATCAAAGAAGCTCATTTTGCACCAGTCAGAGACTATTACCAAGTACCACAACTGGTCACACATGGACATTATCTATGAATTGCCCAGGCCTAAGTGACACATCTACAATGCAAACTCTACACCTCATGGAACATAGAACAGGGATAATGAAGAGGGCACTAATGAATCTCTCAGTTCTCAGTAATGAAGCTTCCTCATGCATCAGAGGGCCAGGAACACAAAAGGTCACAAATAGCCAAAGGGTAGAGATCAAGAGTCTGCTGAATGCTGGATACCTTTATTAAACTTCTCCTACCCAAGGCTCACGGACCATTGCAGAAGAAGGGGCAGAATGATTGTAAGAGCCAGGGAGGAGGTGCATGACCATATGGAAACAGAGTCTTATAAGCTCCTGGGAGCCTGTTCATATGATTCTATGCCAATGGTGTCAGCATATACAAGTCCTATGAAAAATCAGGCAGACAATAACCCAGCATAGAACTGGGAAAATGAACAGCAGGCCCCAATCTTATTTGAAGGAATGTTGGCAACTGATTGATGCTAGATGAAGAAAAGCTGATCTTCCTAAAACAAGGGACTCTAGATAGGCTGACTAGACTTAGTGAGCAGACTTGCACTGAGGAACAGCTGGGGACACTGACAACCCAGTGGGCCCTAACAGGGATGACTAAGTATAAGGGCTCCAGTGAGGGGCTGGGCATGGAAGGGTGCCAGTAGGGACAGGGGTATAAAAATGATTAAGATTGTTTGAGCTATTCTGTATGAAATACACAAAAAATTCAATTAAAAATTTATAAAAAAATAGGGAGGTAGATAGATGATAGATAAATGATAGATGATAGATGATAGATAATAGATGATAGATGATAGATAGATGATAGATAGATAGATGATAGATAGATAGATAGATAGATAGATAGATGATAGATAGATAGATGATAGATAGATAATAAATAAGCTGTTTCACTCACCAGCACAAAGAGTGTCTAAGCTAAATACATTAATGGTATCAATTTGGCATTATGTCCTGTTTAAGCTGTTAGGCTAAGAGAAAGTTAGAATGCTTTCTGGAAATCGTTAGTGTGGTAGTTTGAATGAGAAAATTCTGCCTAGGCTCCAAGTATTTGAATACTTGGCCCTAGTCCCTGGACCTTTTTGCTGAGGTTCAGGAAGTGCAGCCTTGCTGGAGGAACCACATCACTGGGGAGTGGGCTTTGAAAGACCAAACCTTGCCTCATTTTCATTTATTTTGCTGCAGCTTCCTGTCCCTGCTCAAAGGTGTGAGCACTCAGCTTTGTGCTCTGGCTGTGCCTCCCTGCCATGATGGACTCTTGTCCCTCTGGAACCATAAGCCAAATAAACTCTTCCTTCTCTAAGTTGCCTTAGTCATGGTGTTTTATCACAGCAATAGAAAAGTAACTAATGCAGTTAGGAAGCTTTAAAAGAACAGAGCAAAAGCCATTTCCTACCCAGTGGGCGAACCAGGTCTTCCTCTCCAGAGGTCCTCATTCCATCCTGGGCTTGTCTGGTTTCCTCTGTCCTTCTAACTGCGGGCTCTTCCCCCATACCCACTACATCGATTCTGCTCTTTTTATGGTCTTCACTGAGGAAGCATTCCTCTGTCACTCTACGCTTACTGCTGCCAGCAGACTCTGTCTGTTCAGCATTCTGGAAAGCGGATCCTGTTGTGGAGTTTCCCAGAATTCCTGGTGTAGAAATGGCCTTCACACTACTGATGCACCTGGAAAATAAAATCCATTTCCAGATCTCAATATTTCAAGGAGAAAATGTTCAGATGGTCAAAATTCTTAGAACTAAAACCTTTTTATGATAGCGTTCTGGTGAAGATGATGTGAACTCTGTAACACAGAGGTGACTGTTTCAGCAATTGGGCACATCAATTCCAAGTAGATTACCAGACACAGTTAATCTCTCTCAAGTCCCCATTGTAACCCCCACAGTGACCATTTATGAAACCTAACTAACTTAACAGAAGAGATAAATTATAACATAGCAAAGAAGCAATAATCTCTGAAGATTAACAGTTTTGGGAGACCCATTATTGATGGATGAATTAATTGCCACTTTTTGGCAGCTCTGGACCCTACTAAGCACAACTTACAGTGATGAACTTCAATAATGAACAGCACTTTTATTTAATATATAGAAAACTAGGTTTCTCCAAGATTAAGTTTCAAATGGGTTATTTTAAAATTAAATAATTATTGCTTTTTTAATATTTTATTTATTATTTTTCTTATGTGTATGAGTATATTGCCTGCATGTATGTAAGTGCACCTGTGTTATGCAATGCCTGTGGAGGTCAGAAGAGGGCATCAGATCCCCTGGAACTGGAGTTATGGATGGTTAGGCACCATGTGGGTTCTGAGAACCAAACCCAGGTCCTCTGCAAGAGCAGCCAGTGTTCTTAACCACTGAGCCATCGCTCCAGCCCCCAATAATTGTGTCTTTAATCCCCCCAAAAAGACCTTATAGGTTTTTTAATAACCTTTGCTCCAAATAGATACTATAACTCATCATAGCTTAAAACAAATAACTTTAATTGGATACAAAACTTCTCCTGTATTTATATATGACACTTTTAAAATAAGGAGCAAATTTAGTCAATAATCTACTTCTTATAATGCTGGGGAAGAAACAGCCAATTTTCAGATTTAGGTTTTTAATTTACAATTCCACATAATCATTATTTAATTCTTTACCTTAAGAAGGATGTATTCTTTATTGTTAAACAAACAAACAATAAACCAAACTCTCTACTTTTAAAAGTGTTGATTACTAAAGATATTAACAATGGTGATCTTTGTGTTGGTACAAGACTTATAAGCAATAAAACGGACCCAGTGAAGAAGCACAAGTCTAGTACAAATAAGACCCTGGGTTCTACCTCCAGTGGAAAGAAAGAAAGAAGGGAGGGAGGGAGGAAAAGAAGGAGAGAAAGAAGGGAGAAAATGCCTGAAACTATCATAGGCAAGAAAAAAATCAGAATAACAGGAAAAAAGAGCCATGAAAGATCCATATAAGATGCAAGACTGGCTTTTAAACACTTCCTGTAAAACTCTCTTCACTTTTCTTTCAGGATGGCCTCAGATTATCACAGTTCACACCAGCTGTGGATGTGTACCATACAATGCTACCTTCCATGGGACGGACCACCATTCACTTCATCAATGTGCTGCTTTTCACTTGAATGTTTGCCCAGCACTGGTTCATTTGCAGCTGCTGATCCTCCTTTCTGAGCTTCTCTTCCTTTGTTATCATCCTTAGAAGGAAGCCCATTTTTCTCTCCTTTGAACAACGGACATCCATTTTTATCCTCAGTGCGGTGCTCATCTCCAGTGATGTCTTTTCGTCTCTCCAGGTTCTCTCTGCATGGACCATCTTTTCCATCTGCATTCTCTCCAGGCTCTGCGTAATTCCTTGGAACAACATCTCCTTCCTTGTCTCGTTCTATGTGACACGTGGCAAAACTTGTCTGCACAACAGAGGCATTGGTCTTCTCAGCATTTTTCTTGTTGAGTTTGTTAACATTTTCTTTCTCTGAGGAGAACTGGTTCTTCTGGGTAGATCTCTCTAGAAGCCACCAGAGGATACAAAACATTTTAATAGAGAATGTACAAGATCAGTTTACTTTTGGCTTCATATAATGGCATCTCTATTCTGACTTCTTTTATAAGTAAATGTAAGCTATTAAAAACAAAGCATGCCGGGCGTGGTGGCACACGCCTTTAATCCCAGCACTTGGGAAGCAGAGACAGGTGGGTCTCTGTGAGTTCAAGGCCAGCCTGGACTACATAGTGAGTTCCAGGACAGCTGGGGCTACAGGGAAACCCTGTCTCAACCAGGCCATACCATCAATTCAATGGATTCCTTCCTTTTACTCTGGTGGTATTTTTTGTATTTTAGTCAGGTTCTTACTATGTAGCTCAAGCTGGTCTTGAACTTCTAGTGATTCTCCTGCCTCAGCCACCCAAGTGCTGAGATTACAGGCCTGTACCACTCTTCCACACCTGATTTTTGTTAGTTTGTTTTTTGCTAGGAGTTGACACCCATGGTCAAATGATCCAGAAAAAAAAAAAAAAAAAAAAAGGAAAAAAAAAAGCAGAAAGAAATACGATCAGCTGACTGACAACTGGTGTCAAGAAATTTTCTTGTTTGTCCCTGGTAAGCCCCAAAGCTACTTGGATAAAGGTACTGATAAACAGCACTTCTCCTAAGTAGATTTAGGAATATATCATTTCCTCTGAATGACTACAAGACTGTCAGTCTTTCCATAATTGTTGAGTCTTCTAAGGATGTTACCTGTGAGAGCTGATGTCCTTCCACCTGTGACATTTGTCCTTTCATTCAGTTCAGGGTTGGCCCAGCCCTTTGCCTCAGCCTGTGGATATACAATTAAGCAATCAAGGTTACCTACAATGTACACATTGCTTAGCTTCTGCCTTACTGACACACGCTGGGTAATTCATTGTAAAGAACATCATAAACACTCTAGGATGTTTGGCATTATTCCTGGCTTCTACCTCCCAAAGATACCAGAAGTCTACTGCCTTCCAGTTGTGATGACCAAAAAAATGTCTCCAGACATTTAGAATTTACTTTCTTAATTATTCTACAGTACACAATACATTATTAATGACTATATTCACCCAGCTATGCAAAACATCTCAAATCTATTCTTTCTATCTGAAACCTTGTTGACCAAAATAATATTAATAAAACAAAGTATCTCAAATGATAAGTAAATGTCCTCAGGGGTACTGCGACAAAATTATTCTAGGTTGAAACTACTATATTATATAATTCAAGCATCTGAGGAAAGCCACAGAAATTGATAGTCATGTAGAGCACAAATAGTTTTAATTAATGAAATCCTGCACAGGCTTCGGTATCAAAGCAAATGAATTCACTATAGTGAGAAATTCTGTAGAACTCTGTCATGGTATAAGAACATCTTCATGAATTTGTCAAAGGATATTGATAGTGTATATGTCACCCTTGACTTCCATTTTAGTTGTCTTGATTTGGTTCACACATAAATTTAACACAAATCAGAAGGCATATGTGAGTAAGTTTTTCTAAACCAAAGAGAAAATGGACTGTGCGCTTCTTTACAATGGGAACAGATGTCCTTCCCCCAAGCAGTTAAACATTCTTCTCACAATCCTAAAGTCTTTAAATTACATTAACAAAGCCTTTTACAATACCATATAAAAGGTAAACAGTAGCCTGATCCACCCAAATGACCACAAATTAAAGATTATGCATACATCTGTAGAAAGCAAAGGTTGGAGAGCAAAGCTATAGAATTTCTCTTAGTCAAGTACAGAGATGGCCAGGAAAATGGCCTTGAGCTTCCTCAGGCTAAACCAGTTGCTCTTTCCCTCTGTTGGCACAGAACTTGGCATATATGTCAATAGCAGTGTCCCTTGTGACACTTCATTGACTGTTCAATTTCCTACTAGACTGTGGGTTTCTAATGGCATAAAAAAAGGTTCATCACTGACTCATAGTGCTTAGTCCAGAGACATCATGTAGTGATGACAACAATGATGATGATGGCAGTGATGATAGCTAAAATGTACTGAGCACAGACTGCATACTAGGAATTCTTCAAAGCACTTTGCATGATTAATTCATGACTCAGAGGAACTCTTTGGGAAAGACTATCAACCACATTTTTATAAAGAAGCCAGGATTCTAATTCACTTGTCTATTTGGTCTGTACTATACTCTGTACTATTTTTCTGGAGAAAAAAAGAAGGATTTTAGCCAATCTGCACTGTTAAGATTCATTGGGATCCACTGCAGAGTTGGTACCATAGGACAAAAACCATAAAAGAGAGAGGCATAAAATGAAAACATTAGTACAGCCAAAAGATGTATGTGTTCATTGGTCAAAAGATTGGGATTAACTTGGAAGAAGGAAGGGAGAGAATTAACCTCAGTTCTGAAAATCCGTGTTCAAGTTAGTCAAATAAGGCAGTTTAGCGAATTCTGTTAAAGGCATTTTATATTTGTCTTTTGGTAACTTCTCTTTTGAAATAAAAAAGCCTAACACACTGGTAGGCACTGTGCTTTGAGATTTATCCTATGTGACATAAACACAATGATCCAAGCAAAAGAGGACTTCACCATGAAACTGGGTGTCTATTAGTTTATTTCAGTCCATCAAAATATATAAAAGTGAGAATTTGGCCATATGATTCTATGGAGCGCTGATCAGTCAGGCTATGAGTGCCCAATGTCGGTATACGTCAGGCTCAGTCTGGCCTGGCCAAGAGCAAAAGCTGTTAGTGCTCAACATGAGAGAAGCCAGTTGTCAAGCAAGGCTATTTTTCTTTTTATAATCACACATCACATATGTTCTACTTTTTAAATAACGTAAGGCCTGCGCTCGATGCCGCAGGTTATTGTAACTTCCTTTCCCTGTGTAACACTGACATCTAGAGGAACTCGGAACTGGAGCATGTCTAATCAACAGAAGTCGAATTTTTTCCTTTCTTCCCCTGCACAGCAACCTTGCCAGCCTTCAATTTGAAGCCGTTCCTTTGCATTTCGACTTCTCTGCAGAAGCTGGTAAAATAGGACACAGTTCTGTGAATACATTTTGTTTACCATCCAAAAGTGACATTTGTTTCCTATTGAATAGAGAGGTCAGGATCAGTACTGTGAAGCAGGAAATTCCTGAAATCATTCCCATCATCAGAGGGATGAAAACCTTTTTGAGACTGTGCTGAATTCATAATACTGGCTGAAAACAAAGGGACTCCTTTCATTCAAATTCCTTCATTCATTTTAAAATAGGTACATATTTGCATATGGATGTTTTTGTCAGTAGCTATCAATTTCTTCTATGACAATTTATCAGTGGATTTAGGGTGACACCAGGAAGACTAGGGACATGGCCCAGATGGTCCAATATTCAAAACACAGTTCAGCTCCCTCCATCTAGCCAATTTCCTCAACAGGTCTCATAAATAGGGGCACATATGTAGGGATTGCTCACTATAGTCCTGTGAGGACCGTGGAGGGAATGTTAGAACTCATCTTTGTGTATTGCATTTATGGATGAATATTTGTGCTCTCCTGAAATTCATATGTGTTCTCCTGAACCCTTAACTCCTAATGTAGCAGTCTAAAGAGACGGGTTTCTGAGAGGTGGTTAGGCCCAAAGGCAGACCATATTATGGGAATAGTGCCCTTATAAGAAGAGGCATGATGCCAGTTGTAGTGGAACCGAGCTATAATCCTGGCACTAGGGAAGCTGGAGCTCAAGGATCATGAGTTTGAGGCCAGCCTGGGCTCTTGCAAAAAAAAAAAAAAAGAAGAAGAAACAGAAGAAAAGACATGAGTGTTTGCTCTCTGATCTCTGTCATTTGAGGATTTAAGAAGATGGCAAACTAGGAAACGGGTTGTCTCGAAACATCGGGTACCAAGACAGCCTGATCTTGGACTTCTAGCCTCTAGAACTGTGACAAACATTTAAGTCACCCCAGGTAATTGGCTATAGCAACATGAACTAAGACATTCTTTTTAAATTTATATTATACATGCTTAAAAATATATTAATAAAATTGGTCACACATCTAATTTATGAGTTACTATAATATGTTAACTATTATTCATAAAAATAAATATGTGCATACTGGTTATCAATGTATATAGTTTATAAGCATTTTAGAGTGTTCTTATCTTTTACTGATAACTGTAAAGTCAAAATACGTCAGAGCTTATTTCTTTAGGTAGCACTATTTCTCACAGTCTGACTTTCTGAAATCTGTGCTTTGGAGAACCATCTTAATTAGTTGATTCAAGGACAAGCACATAATTAGACCTATCAGTTCATTGTTTGTTTGTTTGAGACAGGATCTCCCTGTAGCCCCAGCTGGCCTAGAACTCTCTATGTTGACCAGACCGGCCTCAAACTCACAGAGATCTGCTTGCCTTTGCTTCCTAAGTTGCTGGGATAAAAGGTCTATGCCACTAAGCCTGGCTCTCTTTCTGAAATCTACTCTTTGAGGAGGTCAGGGCTCATTGCTCATATACTTTCCACTCGTGTCACATCTGTAGTTTGCCGTAGGATCCAGCCACGAACATCGGTATGTACCTACTGCCTGCATGAGTTCCCGCCTGTCCTTTCCTTCACATCTGCTTCCGGGTCACATCTAAACCCTCCTGAAAGTGATGTGGTGACTGAAAGGGACATTAATTCAACAGGATATGTTGGCTACTCTCTCTTTCATACCCATTTAATTAGACGGCTTTTTTAAAAAGTCAATTCTAGCCAGGTGTGATGGTGCATGCCTTTAGTCCCAACATTCAGAAGGAAGTGGCAGGTGGATCTCTGTGAGTTCCAGGCCAGCCCATGCTACACAGTGAGACCCTGTCTCAACACAAACAAACAAAATCAATTCTAAGATGGACTTAACATTAAAAGAATAGTGTGGCTGAGACAGTGAAACTGAGCCTTCACTAGACCTTGGCATACTATAGTCACTTTTTGTGTCATTATGCCATTGAACAACACATCTGTTCCCCACTGGAATATGAAGCCTTCTCTTCACATTTCTTTTCCAGCACTAAACAGGAGGATAGGGGTTCTAAAAATGCCCAGTGAAGCAATGTGCACCAAAGGAAGAAGTGCTTGCAGGAATGGCTCTGTCAATGTGAGGGTTCCACCATCGGGCTGCATCACAGAAAAGCAAGACTTCCCTGGGGACAGGTTCAATGCATCCCCACCACAGGGCCTCAGCGCCTTTGAGAACAAAATGTTAACTAATGAGCGCACTCCTACATTTGACTAGTGGGTTCAGAACAGTCCATTCCTAACATCACACGTGGGACATGACTAAATGTGTACCCTAAATAATGGCTATGCATCTCGTTGCTATGGCAATGCCAAGATGGGCACTTTCTGGTCATTTTAACCTAATATCCAAAAATAAAAAACAAAATTATAACAATTTTAAATGACTTTGTTAAATTTTGATTAGGTTCCTAATGAGAGAAAGGAAAATAAATAACCCCTAAAGGAATACAAAGACAGGAATTTTTAGAATAATAAAACTACATTTCTCCACCTGAGTATAAAAGAATAATTTTAACATTTTTGTTACATTTATTTATTTATTTATTTATTTATTTATTTAATTTATTGTGTGCCAGAATAGCTTTCTGGAGTTGGTTCTCTCCTTCCACCAAGTAGGTGGGTCTTGGGGATTGAACTCAGGGCATCAGGGGTAAAGACACCTTTACCTGCTCACCAGTCCCATAAAAAATAATTTTTAGAGATTGTTCACAAATAAATTTATTTCTCTTCATCTGCAGCACACTCTCAAATTTCTCTGTGCACACAGAGAAAACACCCTGCATTCCTAG